GATGGGAGAGCTCACACATGATAGGTCATTACACAATGGCTAGAGCACGTCAGGATCAGACAAGGACAATCGTGGTACACAACACAACAAGTATGGACCGGTGGCTTGTGCAGATCCCAGGACAATAACAGTACCTCATTCATGGTGACACACTAACGGACAGAGAAATACTAAGAAAACATGAAGAGGAAATATCAGGACGTGAAGAGGAATCGTTAAGTAGATGCAACTGAACATCCATTCCGCCAAACTCAAAATATGAACAGCATAAAAAGAATATTATCAGCTCCACCTGCATGGAGAGTTACATATTAACAAAGTTCATTTACTGAACATTTCAACCTTGATAACAGTTACCAAATGGTTAAAAGGGAAGGGGCAGATCTCAGAAAGTGTCAGGTCTGAACGGGGTTTCATGTTACAAAATTCAATACGTGAACCCAGAGGAAATCCAGGGAAGTTTTTGTTGATGTTGTGCATTAAAATAAGTGCATCTGTGCACTCCAGTGATTTGAAAGGACTTCAAAATGTGTCTCACAAAGAAGAGAAAGGATGGTTAAAGAATCGGATGGGGAGGGTTACGTATTCGAAGCACTATTAGGTTTTTATTAGAAAGGGAAGTTCCTTTTCCAGTCCATGGATGGCTTTCCAGTGGAACAGATTGGATGAAAACATGGATGTGACATGTTTTTTAAAGAACAATATACAGAACTGCAACCCTCACTACAGAAGCAGGGTGAAGATGGATGGGTGGATATATTGAATCAATAAGATGTAAAATGGCTACAGTATAGTACCATGTATTATTAACCTGCCTGCTATGTCATATAGATTATGCCATGTATTTGTATACTAACTTATATTACCGTAAATGTTCTTATTTCACCCTAACCCTCTTCATGGATGCACAGAGTAGGAGGCAGAAACACCCTGGATGGGATGCCAGGCACAGGGCAGGAGCACCCGGGACGGGGTGGCAATAATAGGGTGGGGGAACCCTGGATGGGATGCCAGGCGCAGGGTAAACTCACCCAGAGACGCTATTTAGAGATGCAAAGTCCCCTGACTGCGTGCTGTGGGAGGAAGCGTACCCAGAGGTTGGGTGGCAAATTATTTAATATTTAGTATTAAGTAACATTTCAGCATAAATTTATTAATATATTATTTGCATAATTCTGTAAATAAAAGTCAGAATTGCATCATGAATAATGATGGTTAAATTAAAATTCGCACTGAACAAGGTGTGAAATTTCAAGGTAATCCTCAAAATCATTCACATATTTTCATCTTTCACTGCTGCCAGTGATTTTTCTGTATTAAAAGTAGGACTGTTGAATAATTGACATTTATTGGATTAACTTAATGCACAGCACTGCAGCCTTTTTAAAACCTGAACCCCCAAATAAAAGTGGGCCAGAGCAAGGGAAACCCCAGCACTGAGAATGGGGGGGGGGGTCCCCCATTATTCGTATTGTGTAAACTGGACCCCCCAGAGGAGATCCCAGCCAGCTGCTTCAGGTAAGGGGGCAGTGTGAACACAAAGCTCATGGCCCTTAAAGGAGCCCCGTTGGCTGATTATTTTCATTGATAGAACTGTGGAGACAGAAGAGCATCAGCTTGAGCTTGGATCACAAATCACTGAATCTATGTCCCTAAGACCAGCCTGATGAAGCTTCCCTCAACTTGCCAAATGTCGTTAACACAACTGGCTCATTAATTGGGTCATTTCTGCATGACAGATGGAATCCCAACCCTTTGCAGCTACTAGACCTACTGCAGCATTTCCCAGCCCGGCCCTCTGGGACCCCCAGTCAGTCCTCCCAGTTGCTCCCTCCCAGTTCCTTGCCAGAGAATTCACATTTTTGCTCGGGGAACTGGGAGGGAGGAAAAACGTGGAGCTTCTGGGGATCCCTGAGAAGCAGATTGGGAAACACTGACGTAATGGGAAAAGCAGAAGCTTGAAACTAACAGTGGGTGGGATTATGAAACACTGTAGATCATAAACTGGTTTAACCGAATGGGGACATTTAAATAAAATAAAGAAATAATTTTATTTTGTCTTGAACATTGTCATCTGCTGAGCTTTCTATACATCCAATGGAAAAAAAAAAATCTGTAATCATCACTGCAAGTCCAAGGATTCTCATTGGTTCCCTCAGATTTGTTATTTCCAGTTAATAATGCAAGAATAATGTTGCCAATTTTACATCCCATTAAACGTGTTTCTCTAAAATTTTAAACTGCATATGGGTTTGCACTGAAATATTTGTATCACGCCTTGGTAGTGATACCTACCCAAGTGGTATACTATAGAGAATATACTATAGAGAAAATACCAAGAGAAATCCTAAATGCTGGTGTGATGACACAGTTCATCCATGACTAGAACTGTTTCCTGCCTAAGTGGACAATCTGAATTTTTAGTGGGTGTTGAACAATAACACAGAACCCACATAAAATTAGCATGAATTTATTTTTGCAGAATAACACCCAAGACAACCTATAATTAACCAAAACAAAAGAAAAAAATGTTCTGATACTGACAGGTGTATTTTGTTCAAAAAATATGTATATCTCAAGTGGAAACTCCATAAATTTGCATCAATTTAGCTTTAGTTTATAGGAACAGCTTGGTACAAAACAAGTATCTATTATGCAAATTAAAAAGAATTAATAAATAAATGTTGAAAAGAGCCAAAGAAACACCCTTATGTGTTACTGCTGGAGCAAGATGAGATCAGACAACAATGAAAAATGACAGAGAGGCTTAGAATGCTTGAATTAAAATTCACCGTGGGTGCTTGACAAACTCTTTCATTTAATAGAGAGGGGTTACACATTGATTGTAAAGTGTACACAGTAAATGAAGCAATCCCTCCATCCATCCATCCATCTTTAGGAGTAGGACCTCCATCTTTAGAACCTATCCCAGGCAGCATGGAGTATAAGACAAGGGAACATGCTGGATGTGATTAGTTCTCCACAAAATAAAATTTTATTATAATATGTATAGGAAAACTGCATTTAAAAGCTAATTCAAAGCTGTAGTCCATGACTGGTCACATGACAGAGGCTACAGCATTGCTTTGCTGAGAATGAGGCCACATTATTCAGGTTGTGCAGTGCAATGGATGGGAAAAACCCCAAGGCTTTGTCAGGCTGGCCGCTGCTCTCTCAGATGCAGGGACAGCCTCCCCTTTGCTGCTGTGTTTATCGCTCCGGATTTCATTACACTGCCCCCTAGGTATGACAGCGTGCAGCCCTGAAGTGATTGTTGATATTAATAATACGCTTCATTTACCTGATGCAGCTGCAAATTTTGCCTTACAATTACATTCAAATGTGCAGGTTTTTCTAAACCATTAAAGGAAAATTATTTGGCAGATTCATATCAAGGCTGAGCCTTAAAAGTCTTAAAAAAGACTAAAGTGTGAGATCATTGGACAGAGGTTGGCAGCATTTGTGTGGCTGAACCTGTCTCATTGATTACTGTCCATCAGGCCACTCCTGCAGTCTGAGTATAAGAACAACAATGTTATACGTCATTAAAATGGCAGGTTATCCAATTGGTGGAGAAGTGGGGTTAATTAAATCATACATTTCATTTAATAAACTAAAAGCCTATATGCCTGGAAATGCCAGATGCCCAGTTTTGACATAAAGGGCTGCAGAGCTCATATTATTTTAATAACGGGGCAATTAGCAGTTCTAACCCCCCCAAGCTCCACAATATTCACTCGCCACCATTTTGAAACTCAAATGAAACATCTGCTGTTTATTGTAATTGCAGAGTTTTCTATGCATTTCGGGGGTTTTGAGAAGGACCTTCACAGCTTCCTTCCTTCCATCTTCACATTTTATGGTTATTTCCAACCGAGCATGTGGCATGTGGCTCCATCCCACCCAAGCAGGAAGAATTGGATTTTTTTTTTGTTTTTGGAGGGGTGGGGGTGGGGGTGGGGATTGCCTCAGAAATCTCCAGGAAGCCCTCCAAGTCCTTAAAAAAATAGCATTGGATTTGGCGACGTGACACGCTGCTGGGGAAGTGGCAATCACAGGGCAATCACGGGGCAATCCTCTGGGCCTTTCACTCCAGCTTACACATCAACTTTATCAAGAGCTCTCTCTTTTGACACCTGTTATGTTTCCAGAGATCCAGCTATTAAATCAGTTGGTTATAATTCTCTTTAGACATACAGCTCAAAAAACCATCACTGGTAAAGGATGTAGACTCGTGGCTATACTGTAATTTAGTTTTGCGTGGTGATGCAATGATGAACACTGTTCCTCATACCTCTGAAACCTGGGGCTTTGCAGTGGAGTTTGCAGGTTCTCATGCCACTGTGGGTTTCCTCCAGGTTCTCCCGAGCAGGTATAGAAAATGGATTTGAAACAATATACACAATCCTTAAACAGACCTCTTGAAGTACTACTGTGTTCTCAAATACTTGATGGCAAATTACTATCAAGTGCTGCAGTAATGTTGTGTTCTTCCTCTCTTGTGCTGTAGACCGGAGTAATTCATGGCATTTAAGCACTGCAGGAAGACAGCTCAGTGGGTTGCACTGTTACCTCACACCTGCGTGATGTGTGTTTGTGGGGGCCGCATGTTCTCCCCCTCATTAGGGTTTCTTCCCTCTGTAAGCGTGCATGCGTTACCCTGTGATGCACCCAGGATGTGTTCCAGCGATGCCTGGATCTGCCCCCCTATGACACTTATCGAAATAAGTCGTCGGAAGATGAAGCTGTTGTGGACAAAGACAATGGAAATAACTTGATTAAGATATTCTTCGTCTGAAGATCCTATTTATATATATATTTAATATAACTTCATATAAATATTCAATTTAAATTAATTAAATTTTACTTTTAGATTCACTTCTATTTTTATGTTTTCGCTGGCACTACAAACAGTATTTCAAGTTTTCACCTCGTACTGGATGGCAGCTAGATTATTCCATTAGACGGGATTGCCCACTTCACTCCCTAGAATACAAGTATTGATTGCATTTTCCCTGTACTCTCCCTCCCTCTCCGGGTTCCCTTTCTCTCTCCCTTTCTCGCTCACCACCCTCCCTCTCTCCCTTCTTTCTTGAAAGTACTGCAGAGGCACAGCTGCAACGTAAAAAGAAGAGAGAAAGAGAAAAGAAACCTCGCCGGCAGTTACTACCCCCCGTCGCAGTGACCGTAGGATAATCAACAGCGTTAAATCCGCAACCATCTATCTTCGGACTGTGGGTATTCACTCATAACATCGACACTTCTCCCATTTTTAACCGGTGAGTGATTTTTTTTTTCGTTTTATTAGTTGGGTAGAAGCGATTCCCTGTTTCTTTTGCGTTGCGTTTCTTTTTCGTTATCAATACTTAAATCGACGTTTCTTTATCATTTTATTGAGCAGGGCATAGTAGTGATCCTATAAACTGTATGTACGGCTACATTTTGTAGCGGTTTTAGGCTGACGACTTCTATTTCAATAAAAATACAGTCACACATCGTTTAATGTTTACTGTCACAAATCAACTTTTTATCATTTTTGAAACTTTACGGGCTTTTATACAAAATTAGTTTTAAATTGTGTACTTTCTATAGCCTGTATGCTGTTACAACTGTTGTTCAAACGTCAGTTTTAGCCTTCAGTTGTAAAGGGATTATGTGTAAAATTACCTGTAGATCCCTGTCCTACATGGAAAAGCAAGTGAACCCTAACCTCCAACCCCCCCTTTTTCTCGCAATTAACTACCCCCTGTTATAAATTAAAAGTGGCTAATTGTCCCGAAGTGTTTTGCATCGTGCTTATAATACACCCAAGATACGTAGAAAAGTTGCTTTTATGTGTCAAGTGAGATGCACGACTGTGAGAAATGTGCTAGATCGCCGGACTGTTCCTGCACTTAAAACAGCCGCCCTGCGTGCTTTCCGATGACGGTGAGTCAGGTTCCGTCGGCGGCATAAAGGATTCGGCGTTAAGCAAAAGGGATCCGTCTATTAGAAAAGAGCTGGATGCTGCAGCTTCTGAGTCATCCGTAGATTGCGGGATGGGGGAGTCCGATCCCCATGCACGGTGTCAGGCCATCAGAAATCTCATTACAGGAGGCAGCCTGCGTCAAACTGTATTCCGAGACCAGCCTGGATTTAACAAAACGACGTTGCGCTGCCCGATGTAATGCATCAAAGTGTGCTGCCTTAAAGACCCAGAGCTTTTGGCAACCAAGCGATCGGAGTAAATTCACTTAAACCTCGGCTGCATTTACGTTTTATCAGCAACTTAGAAACGCTAGGGCAGTTTAATCCTATTAATTCGCCTTAATGACTAAATGCCTCGATACCAGAACAAACCTTATATTTTTGTTTGTTTGATTGCCACTGTAGTATTATTTCCAGCCAAATGTTTGCCAGAAGAATATTTCAGTGTAATGATGTAACGTATTATATGCGCCGACTTATTGAATTATTGTCGGACAAAACGATGCTGACACATTCGCTTAGGCTATTACAAGACTGATCACCATATTTATTTTATCGGCAATTAAGAAATGCTTACTTCATGAGGTCATGGACTCGGTTATACAGATTTTTTTTTTAATTAATAACTTTTCGCCCTTCTTTTAATATTTTTATTTTAAATAATCTGTAGCAAATAAACAACGAACTGACTGATTTTGTTTGTTTGTTTAGGCCTATTTATTATTATTTTTTTTGAGTACATTATTCTTGCCATGAAAATACTACCGAAATAGACAACGTGAGTCATGTTCACCAAGTCTTTCTCAGGGTCCTGTTTGCCTGGTGAGTCAGCGTCAACACTTCATATTTTTATCCCTTGCAATATATTTTACAACACAATTGCTATGATATAAAGGCAGCCCCAAAATATTGTATTTCTTCTTTTCTGCAGAACAGAATAGTCTTAAACTACGTGTTTTCTGTAATATCTTCATAAGATCACGCAGAGCGTATCACATACACCTGGCTTTAGTTATACCGATAGTATCCTGCTCCTCTTTACATGCCCGGAATTCTCCGCGTTTAGCGCTACGCTCCGCCGGCCGGCGCTCCGCAGCCTCCGTTGGGTCCGTCCGCTTACTCTTGCGGGTATCCTGCCCCCAAACTCATTCCTTCTTTCAGCCCATGCGGACTCTAACAGCAGAGTTAATGGGAACTCCGCCCGCTGCTAAAGATCTGCCTTGGTGATCGTAATCCATAATTAACGTCCACCTCTAATCAGAGAGGCACAAAGTCTCATTTAACTTTGACGGGGAGAAGTATTGATAAAACCCTGCATTAACACTTAATGTTGTCTTTTAAGTATTAACTTTTCAATCAGCATTAGCTACGGGTGGTATGGTGAGCATTGCAGCCTCCTACATCAGTTACTGTGGGTTTAAAGTGTGTGTGTCTTGTTATAGACTGGCATCCTGGTCAGGATGTCCCGTTTGGTACCCTATGCGTCCTGGTATAGGCTCCAGGCTGACAGTGACCCTGTACTGAATAAGAGGTTCCGGAAATGGATGGATTAGCTGGACATTAGCAAAGTGTCCTTGTAGCCTGAACTTTTCTTTTTTTCCTGCAAAGGGTGGATAGTGTTGATTATATCATAATAGCTTATTGGCTTCTTCTGGGCCACCTGCTAGTAAAAACCAGAATCCTTTCAGATAGAGCGTTCGTCACTGATGCACTAGACAGAAGTGACAGTATAGAAGATACAGCTGAAGAAAATGTGATGCCTGGACTCGAATATGAATCAAAGCTTGCGACATGAGTCACATCAACGAGGTGTCATTTCTGACAGGGGAGTGCAGCTGGGCAGTGTTTTGTCGCTGCAGGAGTGTGTACAGTGTGGAGATCCTGGAGTCCCTCACCGTGATTTCGCCTGGCATATGATCTGCTAATGTGCCTCTGGTTACCCGGTTTACCATGATGCACAGCTAGTTTCCCAATAAAACTATTTGTAGTTTTAGTGTCTACAAGGGGAAAAAAATATGATTGATTATTGTGCTGTCATGGTGATCCTGTTCCATGGTGAATTTGGTTTCTTTGTCTTCTGCTACGTGGATTTACTTGCTCAAAGTTGCTTCCTCAGGTGGATTTGCATCTGCTGAAGGTTTTCCCCTCTGTGTTTCCCGCTAATGCCGTTGTTCTGTGGGCGGCGCACACCACGTGTCTCTCTTCCAGCGTCTGATGGTGCACATGCTATGGTGCTGAAAACCACAATTACTGGTCGGGCAAATGTTTGAACCTTGAAACCGCAATTAAATGCGAAAGACATAAGTTCCCCTTGATATTTAAGCGCCATTATAACGCTCACGCTGCCGCTGGGGAGTGGAGCTCGGACAGGATAACTGCAGTGGCCTTGATAGATGTCACAGTGCAACTCCTCCAACCCTGCATGACTCGCGGACCCTCTATCTCTACCCCCCCCCCCCCCCCGACAGCCCCACTGTAGCGTCCCCCGTAACACTATACCAAGTCTCCTGAAAAAGTGGAAAAACTCAATGCTACAGCCTCTCGCTGATGATGAATCCTCCACCGCTGATCTAATTACCTATTTTGCTTGCCTGGTGGGCGGACTTATCTACTTCATGTTTTCTGATGTCGATGTGAGAGAAGACACGTTTTCATTTCTGTGTTCTTACTAGTGATATATGCCAGGAAGCTGTTATAATTTTACATTATTTTCTTTTTTCAGATGTTACACATTTAAAAATATATGGAAAGGGAAAAACTGATTTCATGCTGCAAAGGTTTATTATTAGATTACTGTTCTTGGAGTGCACACACACTCAAATATATACACCTAAACTGGATAAATGTATAACTCAACCTTTACCAAACACCCATAATTCTTCACCTCTAAAGTTATGGATCAAGTCAACATTAAATTAATTAGGCACCATTTGAAAACACGCCTTAAACACTTGTATGAGCACAAACATTTTTAACTGCTCAGTTAGTCAGTCAAATGCAAGAGGAATGGTAAGGCTGAATGAGTTTGCTTTATCAACGGCGGCAGAACGTAAATGGTGGTTTCATAAAGGAAAAGTGGGATGTTATTTTTAAAGTCTGTCTGCCCCCAGAATATTGTATGGTTCAAAATGGTTGTATGAGTCAAAATGCTTTAAAAAAATTTAAGAACATCCATCCATCCATTTTCTGTTACTGCTTCTGCTCGTCCATTCAGGGTTGTGTCTGGAGCCTGTCCCAGAGGCTACAGACGCAGAATGTGAAAACGTATCCTGACAATATAGCAATTTTATATATATATATATATATAATTATAAATATATATGTATTACACAGTAAGTGTGTTTTCTTCAAACTTGATTTTCTTTAATGCTATTGTACATTGTTAAATACTGTGTACAACACAAGGCTATTAAATTAAATTTCTCTAATACTGTGGCACACAGCTTGCAGAATCCATATTCTCCCCATGTCATAGTGGGGTTTCCCCCGAGTCTTCCACCCCCCCCCCTCCCCCTCCCCCCGCAGTTCACAAACATGCTGAAGTTGATTGGAGCTGCCAAAATGCCCATAGGTGTGAATGATGTGTGAGTGTGCCCGGTGATGGGTTGGTGCCCGGTAATGGGTTGGCACCCATCTTGGGTCGGTCTCTGCCTCCAGACCCCCCGCAACCCTTAATAGTGGTTACAGAGATTGGATGGATGATCCAGGAGAAGGAATTTGGAGGAGAACATGAATGGGTGAACAGAAGGATTATAGTAAAATGTAAGGAGAAAAAAATGTTGACTGTTGTGGTCACCAGAATTGACACATGTAGTTTCTAAATACTCCTCTGCAAATGTATAGCTGCACTTATTCAAAAATGTATGCAACTCTAAATATAAGCAAATACATGCTCTTATAGCTTATATATCAATGATGCTTCTCATATTTGGGAAACATTCATCTTCACATTTATACAATGAGTATTAGCGTTTGTGTTTCTAAAAGGATTACAAAAAGGATAACAACTAACTAATAATTTGTGATTAGGCTACATATCAATGCACATTAATAAGTGAATGTAATGTTATTTTTGAAGACATGAACTTGTAAAGATTTCACTGTTACATAAAGTAAATGACTTATATTAATGGTTTGATTGAATAGAGAAAAAAAACATGTAATTCATTGTAAAGTATCTGGGGATAGAGAAGGAATCAGAAGATCTCCTTAGGCCTGACTATTAAAGAATATTTTTTTCAAACCTTCAGTGCAGTATCTGACTAAATAGTACAATTAATAATTAGCAAATCAATTGATTTATCCAGTAGCC